GAATTGACCAGGGGCATGTGGGAACATAATGAGCTGATGAAAATATTTTGCCTTGATCTGCAGTTGTCAAAACTGATTGAATTTAAAGATTTGAGCATTTCACTAAACATCAGTCCCTGCTTATCCACAGTATCACTTTCTGTGGTTTCAGTTACCCACAGTCAACCAAAGTATGAAAACATTAAATGAAAAATTCCAGAAATAAACAATTCATAAGTTAAATTGTGTGCCATTCTGAGTAGCATGATGAAACCTCTCACCATCCCAATCCATCCCACCTGGTACATGATTTATTTATCCTTTTGTCCAGTGTATTCACACTGTATAGGCTACCTGTCCATTAGTCACTTAGAAGCCATCTGGGTGATCAGATCGACTGCCATGGTATCACAGTGCTTGTGTTCAATTTACCCTTATTTTACTTAATGTTAGCCCCAAAGCACAAGTGTAGTAATGTTGGCAATTCAGATATACCAACGAGAAGCCATAACATGCTTCCTTTAACTAAAAAGGTATGTATATCTATGAAAAAAACTAGTGTATATACAGGGTTCGGTACTATCTATCTGCAGTTTTAGTTTTCCACTGGGGGTCTTGGAAAGTATCCCCATGGATATAAATATAAGTTGTATTTAATTGTACATAAATTATATACTGTACAGAAATTATATCTCAATTTATAAAAAAACAGTTAATAAATGTTGCTAAAGGCTTAGATTTCAGGTAGCACCTCCCTAGATGTAATTTATAAAAATGTAAACTTTTCCTAAAATCCTGGCTCTGCACTGACTTCTGACATACATAGCTCAATTCTCCCTATACTTCTATGGACCTCCTATACTTAGGTTGGGGTGCGGTCACTCCTACCCATTTGAAGTGTTGGCCTCAGATTCTCGAGGGGTAGGGGAGTAGTAGCATTTCAGAATAAACTGAGAACAGAGTGGGGAAAATCCAAGGGACACTACAAGAAGAACAGGAGCTTTATCACCCTGCTATGGGACAGAGATCCAAAGCTGACTTGCCAGGTATAAAACCACATAAGGAGGTTCTCAGGAAGTGATTCTTCACAGCCAACTCCTCTGCACATAGATACAGAGAGACGATGAGGATGTCTTGCCTTATGTTTTCCACTAACCATAAACTGAACAAATTATCCAATTCATTGACTGGAACTTTTCCATTTTGTCTTTAAAGTACTCAGCTTTGAATTTAATCTTGGCTAGATGAAGCCACCTGAGATTTGCACTCACCAAAGACTTTCCAAAGAAGAGAACTCAGTTGACTTTCACTTTAATGCTTTGTCTTTCAAGTGCATTAAGTCATTGGTGCCCACCAGAAGTTGATTTCATGTCCAGAAATAACCAGTTTGGCCCATGATTCCTGACAACAGCTGGCACAACTGAACAAGCTGCCGTCCTTCAGAACTGAAGCCTTTGGGCATACCTGTAAGTGGATGGGAACCTTTCAGCAGAGAAAGTTGATAACTACATTTTTAATGTGCTTATTCAATGCTCAGGCAAGCGTTAATGGACTTTAGAGACATTTGGACTAAGAATGAGAGTTTGGTGTACTTTGGTCATAGGAACACACTGCAACTTCTCAAATACAGAAGCAGATTACTTATTAGTATTTTAGGGGGGGGAAAGCACCTTGATGATTTTATATCCTTGATCCATTTCTTTACAAATGGATGAGTCTTGCAGAATCTGATTCTGGACCACAATATTCACTAGCAAAAGCTATAACCTAAATGCCGTTTCCCTGCCTGTGAACAGTAAATGCAGGGATAGGAAGGCCTTGGCCTCAGGTTTGATTAGTACCCATCCTTAAACAGGTATACTCTGAAAGCAACCACATTATGACGACAACAGCATGGTAAGCCAGAGTAATTTCTTCCTGGTAGATGTCCACTGTTACCTAGTTCAGAGAAGTGTATATATAAGGTTGTAACACAAAAGAATTTTGTTTGGTGGTTTAATTTCTGATTTTCTTGTAATAGTACCCTTCCATCCCTGTGATCATTTCTCTTTGCAGTTTCACCCTACTTCGTCAGTTCACCTTCCCCAGTGGCACTGTTCCACAAAATTCAACTTCTAAACCCTCTGTGATTTTTCTTCACAGTCACCCCCCTCACATCTTAACCATCGTGACTTTATCACTAGTTCCCAGTTTTACCACTATTATCCTTTTGCCTTTTTTTAAATTCCCCTCCTATTGCTTACTTTTCACTTGGATAACCCATCATGCCCCCTAACTCTGCATATCGAGCCAGCACCAAACACCACCCCACTTTCCATAACATCCCTTAATAGCACCACTGGGCTACAAGACTTTCACAGCCAAAGCCTTAACTGCTAATTAATTTTTCTCTTTCTTCATTTACACCCTATGGTCAAGTCTTGGTAAACTCTCTTTTATAAGGTCCTTTCCCCACTGCCGTCTCCATCATCCAGTCCACGAAGATCTCTCTCTTGGACTGCTGCAGTAAGGTCTTACCAGTTTCTCTGAGTATCCACCTCCCATCTATTCTCCACACAGTAGCAAGGAAATCCGGTCAAAAATGCAAGATTGAGCACATCACCTTGAGGTTAAAATATCTCAAAGCCTTCTTATTGTCCTTGATATAAAAACAAAAAACCCCTTTACTCTTTACTGCAGTCAAGTGGGTAGTGACAGAAGATTTGACTTTGGGTGGTGGGCGCACAATGCAATACACAGATGATGTGTCAGAGGATTGTACATTTGAAACCTATATAGTTTTATTAACCAATGTCACCCCAATACATTTAATAAAATATAAAGCCACTATCATTAAAATACACACACACACACACACACACACACACACAGTGTTGTTATCCGGCCCCTGCCTTTCTTTGCAGTCTCATGTCAGCACTCTCTACTTTGTTTACCAAGGCTAACCTTCAACTAGTTACCTTCATTTTTTTTAATGCATGCTCCCCGATACCATAGGGCCTTTACACATGCTGTTTCCATTGTCTAAAATGATTTTCTCCCTTTCCTTGCCTCCCTTTGCATAGTTCACTCCTATTCACCCTCAGTTCAAACATCTTTTTTCTTTATTTTTAGAGAAAACTCCTGATTTCTATTTGCCCAAATTAGATCAGTTTCTATCCTGTTATACATTCTCATATCATCTTGTACTTTTCCTTCATTGCATTATCATAGTTTGTAATTAATCTTTATGTGAGTGTTCAATAAATGTCTAATTCCCTTCCTGGTCTATAAACTCTAGAATGGCAAGGCTCATGCCTATTTGGATCACTAGTAAATCTTGGCATGCAGTATATTGCCTTGCACTTACTAAAAACTCAAAGAACATTTGTGGAATTAATGAGAGAGGGTCATCCATGTTTGTCATTTTCTTTGACTTCCTATTACCACCACCACTGTTCACATCCTTTTAACCTCATGTTTAGGTGACCAAAATATTATCTGGTCTATCCTCAACCTCTCTCCTTTCAAATTTAATCTACACATCTCTAGATCAATCATCCCAAAACATTGTTTTCACTGTGATTCTTTTCTGGTTGTAAATCATTCAATGCCTATAGGTTAAATGGGAAATCTTTACCCTAGCCTTCTCATCTCTTCACGACAGTCCCTCACCCATCTTTCCAGGTTTCCATCTCAATTCTCTACAAAACTGTCCAAGTCCCACTGATGCCCTGGACTACTGTGCAGGTTGTGCACTCAATAATGCCTGGGGTGCTACTTATACTAGAGTCTATGTGAACGGCACCTCTGGAGTTAAGCGGGCACAAATGATGTGGCCAAACATGGCAGCCCCATGAACATCTTAAAGTTCTTTCTTACTCCGCACCTTTAATGAAATATTTGCTTTGTCTGGAATGCCCTCCCTTGGTCTCCACCTATCTCCGTAACCCATCTATGTAGTCCTGCCTCCCTGCTCTACCCAGCCACAATGATCTGCATTCCTAAGTTCCTATAACACACCTTATCTGTGCAGTTCCCTTGCTATACACTGTAAGCTATATATTGGTCTTAACTTTTCTTATTAGTGTGGTGTAGTGGAAAGAGCAATGGAACTGGAGTTAGAGATAGGCCTAGGTCTATGTCAACAACAGCAAGGGCGTTTCAGACAACACAAGTGGATGATCTCAGATTAATTCGCTTAACTTTCAAAGCCACAGTTTCCTGTCTAGAAAATAAGAGTAACAGTACTTCCCAGGTTGTTGTGAGGGTACTGGAAGGGTCTCAACCCACAGGCTGTTGAGGGAAGAATGATTGCCTGAAGGTGCTTTGCAAACAGTGAAGTGTTATACAAAGTGTTCGCTATAGCTGGTAACTATCTTCAACCAGACTAGAAACTCCTTGCCAGAAAGGTGCAGTATGTCACACTCCTGTGTGTTCCTCAAAGCGCCTAGTAGAGTGTCTTCCACATGTTGAGTGGTCAATAAATATTTGCTGTATAAAGAATGGCAGCTGTAGGCAACAGATGACAGTGTCCCACGGTTCTGCTGCTCGTAGCTGCCATCCAGTCTGCCATTGCTGTGTTCAGCCCCTCCCTCTCCTGCTGTACCCACTGCCAGCCTGCTTAGCCCAGCCTCCACCAGCACCAAATTCTCAATGCACAGCCATGAACGTAGGAGCCTGTGATATGGAGTCAGTGGCTTGGAGGTATGTTTCACTTTTTCCACTTTCAGGACAAACAGTGGGAGCAATGATACTACATTAGCACTAGAAATTCTGCTGTGACACTTTAGGCACCATGAAAATCAGTACAGAGAGCTCTTTCAGGAGGTCATTCAATTATCTGTGAGTTTGATACCCCAGGGAATGTGAATGGGTGGACATCACGCCTCCATCTCTTTAATAGAGAATGTAATGAGTTCTTATACAATCATTTAAGAGTCTATATCTCCATGAGAAAGCAGAGCTAAGGGGTGGGGATGAAGGACCCATAGGTCATTTAAATATGGATGATACAGCTCAAGGGTTGTTGCACCAGTTGTCTCATAATTTTTAGATCAAATGAGGAACCCAGAGTCCAGTGAGTTATAGTTTGGTGCTCATCATGTCTTACCTTACATCACAAGATCCCCACTGTGTTTGTAGTTGGAGAGCGAAACTAGGTGGTCATTCCTTCTGCTACACCAGATTACAGCAGCACTCCCTTTACCCTGCATTTCACTAGCTTTTGTAGTTCCTAGAAATAAAGCATTTTCCATTTCTGAAAAAATAAATAAACAAACAAATGTTTTCCCAGAATCTTAGAATTGAAAGAGATCTTTGATGTCATTTAGATCTAATAAATTCTAATAAAATACAATAATGTCTACCCTAATATGTCTCGACTTAAACATCTCCAGTGATGGTGTTATTGGTGGGTACCCTCCGTGCCCTACCTGTTACTAAAGAAAGTAGAATTCTTGGGGTTCCAGGGGAACAAGAATTTCCTGAGGACCCCAAGGGAGAATGAGGTATCATGAAAAGCTTTACTGATGATGTAACATTAGGAGAGTTCCCCTCCAAGATCCCATCCCCCTCCACCTTGCCATGGAAAAAGTCCAACCACGCCTTCAGCAAGACTAGGAATAAAGCCACTGCCCAGAGTTTCTGCTTCACATTAAAGCACAGTCCAGCATCTAGCTAGGTTAGCTTGTGTTCCCAGCTGCAGTCCATTACGTGTGGGATCCACATGGCCATAGGCCATGCGGCTGCTATTGCCACATGGCAGGCAAGTATAGGTCATGGAGCAAGCAAGAAACAGAAATGCAAGAGCAAACAAGAGAGCAAGAACTCTTTGTCTCAGGGTTATAATTAGGAGCTTAACCAATTAAGCCTTCGGGATTTCACATTCTTACAGTGGCTCCACACCCTAGTCAATTATCTTTTTTTTCCAGGTTAGACTGACAGGCAAGCACCTTCCCTATGTCACTCCAACTTCACTGTGCATGCACCTATCTTCCCCTTTGTTGGACTCCTTTCCCCAGTGATTTGCAGGGAATGGACTAGTGGTTCCCTAGGGAGTCTGAAATTGCAGCTTCCTGGTGAAGCTTTCCAGATGACCATGCTTATAACATCTGGCCTTCCCTTTGCTTTCTTCCTATTATTAATATTAATAAACTAGCTAGTTATGATGGTAACAATAAGAAACCCACTGTCTAGGAAGGCAGCCCATTGATAGACCAACTATAATTTCTACTTTAGAGCATGTAATAAGCCAAACCCTGATTTCATAGATTATGAAACTGGGACCTGTGGAGCAGAGAGACTTGACATCATACAGTAATTTAGAGGCAGAGCTATACTAGCTTCTGTCCTCTCTCTGCACATAACAGAAAGTTAAAACATTTCTGTACCCTACCTTTTATTACTACTCTTGGCTTCTGGTTCTGTCTCCAGAGCAACAGGGACTCTAATTTATTTTCCATGTGACAGCCCTTCAAATTTTTCAAGAAAGCTTTATTTCATCTCCTGAGTCTTTTTCCAAAAGAAGTCATTCTCTCTATCCCAGTCCTTTTCATTTTTCTTCATTTGGCATGAGTCTTTGCTCTTCACCATCTTCAGTACTCAACTTCACACAGGTTGAAGACACTTTTTAAATTAGGGACACCTAGAACTAAATAAAAACCCAGCAGTAAAGAACACAGAGGCCATGAGCTTCCCTTGATGTTGACACCCCACTTCTACAATTGTACTCAGTGATTGTTTTACCTTTCTAGCAACCAGATCACACTGTTGAACTTGTTATAATAGTTATCTATTGAATACTAACTATCGCAGGCATTGTCCTAACTACTTTACATGAGTTTAATTCTTACAACAATTCCAACAATATTAGTTGGAATTAATACTATCCTCATCTTCCAGGTAAGGAAAATAAAACACAGACTTTTAAGAAACATACCCTAGCTCTCATACAGCTAGCTAGTGAGTGGCAAAGCCAGGATTTTAACTAAGTAGATAGCTCCAAAGCTTGCACTCTTAACTTCATGCCACAGATGATAATAAAAAATAAATCTCTTTATAAAAAGTTGTTTACACTGTTCACTGCTGTGCAGGGAGATCTCTCACAACCTGTGAAATGAAGTATTTTGCTTTATTTTGCATCCATCCCTATTAAATTTAAGATCGAGTTTTGGTTTCTCCTTCTTTTAAACTTGCATTTTATAATTCAATATATTAGCTATTTTCCCTCAGATTGTATCATCTTCAAATCTGATAATAAGTTTTCTAGCTTTTCATTTAAGTTGTTGATTAAAAGTTAACAACTAGCAAAGGGCCTAGAGATGTAAAAACTTGTTTGGCACAAAAAAATCATCTAAGGATTGATTCTTCTTTGCTCTTCTTGTTTAGCCAGTTAGAAAGCTACATGACTATTATATATTCTAGCCCACAATTCTTCATTTTGTCAGAAGGATATGATAAATTTAACAAATACTGTATAAAAAGCTAAGACAGAATTTCCCAAACTACTGTACCTAGAATACTTCCAAAAATAGAAATGAAGCTAGTAGGTTCCGATTTGTTCTTTGGGGAATCCACCTTACCTCTAAACTATTACAACTTTTGGTAAATTACTGAAAACTCCTCTGTTTAATGGTCTACTTTACAAATGATGTCTGAAGTTGTCATCAAGGTTACTGACCTATGGTCTCCAATGCTCATCTTTTGACCTTTTTGAGGCATAGTGGAACTAATTATGGCTTTCTTGGTCCACATCTACTCTCAGAACCCCAATAAAAGTTTGCAACTTCAAAGATATATGCACATTTTTTTAGTATCATGTGTAGTCATCTGAACCTAACAACTGAAACATTTTCACAACTTCAGACTCTTACATCCAATTGCCTCCTTTCCATCTTCATTCAGACATCTATGAGGCCTTTTCATTTAATGTTTCCAGGGGAGCTTCCACTTTTCTCCCCACTTCAAAACCTGTTCCTCTCGTAGTCTTCCCCATCTCAGTAAATGGCTAGGTCACAAACTTTGAAGTCACCCTTGATTCTTCTCCTTCTTTCACATTCTATAAGCAATCCATTGGCAAATCCTGGGGCCCTGCCTTCCAAATTTTTCCAGAATCCAAATACTTCTCGACTCTTCTGCTACATTCTAGTCCAAGCCACCTTCATCTTTCTTCTGGACGATTGGACTTTCCTCCTAATTGGTGTTTCTACTTCCACTCTTATTCCATGTAGAAGATGCTATTGGCTCACTCAGTCAGACCCTCTGAAATCCCTTTTATCAATTGATTGGTGAGCCCCTTGCCCAGCTGCTGCAAGCACATCAGTGAAAATCGCGCTTGGGCACTGAAAGCCACTACCCCTGGAGGAGCCTGGGATTTACACTGTCCATTTGTTTCCCAGAGTCTTCATCCAATAACCAGGGTGAAGGTAAAAAAAAAACTCCTCTGCCTTGTCTCAAATGGGAAAAAACTCTACTGTGTAATTTATGCTCCAGAACTTCCCGTGAGAGCAGGCTTAAGTTTACCCAAAACTACATTTTTGCCATTCTCCTTCTCTTCAACCCATTTTCTTTCACCCCCTCCCAGTTTGTCCATAAAACGCACACATACAACCTCATCTCAGGCACTACTTCTGGGAACTTGACCTAACACTCTCCCCTTACAGCAGCCACAGTGATCCTGTTAGAATGTTCACATCAGCCCAGTCGGTGTGGCTCAGTGGTTAAGCATTGACCCATGCACCAAGAGGTCGCCAGTTTGATTCCTGGTCAGGGCACATTCCCAGGTTATGGGCCTGATCCCCATTTGGGGGTATGCAGGAAGCAGCCAATTGGTGTTCTCTCTCATCAATGTTTATATCTCTCTTTCCCTCTCCCTTCCTCTCTCTCTAAAATCAATAAAGAAAAAAATATATTTTAAAAAATGTTCACATCATTCCTTTGCTCAAATCCTCTATTGGCTTCCCATTTCACCAAGGTCAGGGATGAGGGGGGGTTCAGAGTCAAAAAGACCACCCAGCTAACTTTCCAACTTCATCTCCTTTCCCTCTCCCCCTCATTCATTCCACTCCACTCTCACTGGTCTCCTTGATATTCCTCCAAATCCTATGCATTCTCCTCTTTCAAGCAAGGCCTTTGTACCCAGATTCCTCCACCAAGAAAAAGCTCTCCCCGCAAAGATCCACTAAGCTTGCTTATTTCCTTCAAGTCTCTGTTCAAATGTCACTTGGTGTAGAGGCCCTCTCTAACTATCCTACTATCAAACAGCACACAGACCACACTTCCTGGCACAAGATGGTAAGCTCCCTGAGAACGGGAGCATTGTTTGTATTGTTAGACTTCCCCAGCACCTAAATCGTGTCTGGCATACATTGGGCATTTAAAATTTTTTTTTTAATTATTTAAGTAGACTATATTTTAATTTCCTACACACAAACCACATGAACACACATACACATCCAACAACTGTCATTGATTTCAAAGCCCTATTAACACTGTTTTTTCCATTTTCTATAGCCTAGGAACCATTACTTGTGATGGCCACAACAGAAGCAAAATAGAAGTCGAGTTGTTAGGACTTTTTTGCTCTAATCTATTAACGTTTTTCCATTAGGGGGAAAAATGCATAATATGTGGAAGTCAAGAAACAATAGAGCTTTGCAATCCAGAAGCTTGAGAATTGTACTGTTAGCGCAAATGGCTCTTTGTCAAGTTGCTAAGCAGATAACTCCAAAATATGGAGCACAGTTGCTATCACTAGTATAAATTAAAGAAGTGAAATTTAAAGTTAATAAAAACTTATGTAACTTGGAAACATGGAACAGACTGACAAATCTCAGAGGGAAGGGGGCGGGAGAGGGGGAGAGTAACTAAAGAATGTATATGTATACGTATATATGCATTGTCCATGGACACAGACAATAGGGTGGTGAAGGCCTGGAGCTGGGCGGAAACCAGGTGGAGGGGGGCAATGGGGGAAAATAGGGGTAACATCTGTAATACTCTCAACAATAAAGTTAAAAATAAAACTTATATAACAGAGATTATTGATATGTAAAACTACAGAAAGCCCAATAATTATCCAATCACATAAAGCGTGGATAAATTTCTCCTGTTATTCATAGGAAGGCTTTTGTGATAGGTCCTTGGAATGGACAAAAAGTAACACAGAAGAATTTGGGGTTTGTATCACTGAGTTATAAGTGGATCATGGAAATCAAACTGATGTGTTTAAACTTTATTTTTATTTTTCAATCCTTACCC